ATGAAGCATACTCACAAGCTGAATTTTAAATAAATAAAATCATTGAAACAACATATTAAAAATTAACATTAATTACTATGAATGAAAAATATTATGCTACTAATCTTACAAAAAATAAATAAAGTTATTTAAACAATGGATAAAGCTACAATTTATTATTTCTCTAGATTCTCATTTCTTGCTGAAAGAACACTGCATCATAAGCCAAAATATCAAATGCTCAGGTATTTTAAACTAAGGTGTAACCTTAAAAACTTGCATTTTGCATTTGATGATCATCTGCATATTATATGCTATATAAGTTCAATGAACTAATGGAAAATAAAAGTCATAAAACCGATTTCATACTTGGTGACTGAACTAAAAAACTTCAGTTATCAGCATTGAGTGACTGCCAGGTTCTAAACATAGGTTTGCAGATGACCTTCTGAGGTAAGGAGATACAAATCTGGCAGCAAATTCTATCTTATTTAAATACCATGCAGAAGTAAAAGGAATGTGAGTAATAAAAAAATACTACTCATAACCAGAAGGTCAAGGAAAGCTAAAAAGTTCTAAGACGTGACTCATAAATTATGAATATTTTAAAACTTGTATCAAAATGCAGTATTATACAAAAAGAAAATATTATTATGTTTGTAATTCCTCGACAGTTTCATGAATATTAATTCTGATTTCCTTATTGTTTTATTACTTTAAAAATTATTTTAATAGAAACCTGTATTTGCTAATTTTCAAACTTTATCAAAAAAATACATGTAACTTTAATACATGTAAACTTTATCAAAAATAATAATACATGTAAACTTTATCAAAAAAATACATGTAAAAGAGAAGAAAATATTAGAAATTTATTTATAATAAACACAGATGTGATACCAATAACAAAATTAAATTTAAAGCTTTTCAGTCTCACCAAAATTAAGCTGAAATATTTTAACACATGGAATTCTTTACTTCCATCTTCAAAATAAAGTCATAATATTTCTCTTAAAAAATACAAGATAGTTTATTATTATTAATGAATTTTAGTCTATCAAATTTCTTAACTACTGGTGCCTGAGATGAGAAATTTAGTTAAATATTTACCAATCCATTATGTAATACCCTACTTAATCTATAAACAGATAGCTATGTGATAAAACTCAATATTTTAATAGAATTCATGTATTTTTCAGTACACTTTACCACAAGCATACCCTTAAATGATTAACGTAATTTTTTTTTCTTTACAACTAAGATACTATTTATTGCATATTTTGATATCTAAGATTATAATATATAACGCAGTACAAATATAACAAATAATAAAACGCATTTTTTTTTCACGGATAATACCGATTGCACTAGAAAATAAATTCAACACTGAATGCAATCTGTTTCAACAAAAGCTGAACTTGTTTTGGCAAAAATTTATTCATAATATTAATATAAACTTCCTCTACGTTGCTTGAAAGAAATTTTTAGATTTAAATGCATTAGAAGAAGTTAAGCAACAGAACGAACTTACTATTATGAAAACTATCAGCTAACATTATAAAACTTGATAATCTGGGAAGAGATATTTTAAAAAATCATAAATTGTTGCTACTGATACAAACTTAGTAGCAAAATGTAATCTCAAAATCATAAATTACAGCTCAACTTCAAAAAAAAAAAAAAAAAAAAAAACACTCGATGGTTGCCTTATCAGTTCCAGGATTTGTAAGCAAACATCCAAGCACAAATGTAGTCAATTCAATCCCGGCATATTATAATTTGCACGATAGCGGTGCTATCTTTAACCATAAATTACCTTTCACCCACACCAAATTTTAAGCATAAAGTAAACCACAGCATGCACAAATATTCCTTGATTGTAAACCTTATTATATGCTGGGATTTAATTCTTATTCGAAGCAGACACGTGAAGAAAAAAACACCTGTCAAAATCTTACGCACAAATACAATACAAAATCAGTCACAAATATCGTACCAAGCACAGTAATCACAGATGTTCTTAAGTAAAAATTTAATTCTCCAGCACTATTGCGTATTTTGATCACAAAAATATAAGCAAATGATTTTAAAAAAAAGTACCTCTTACAGCAATCACGCTTCCGCGCTCCCAAGTAAAAGACAGCTACCACACTAGAAGAAATACAAGCCTCACCCACATAACTCTTGAAGCAGCCAACCACAGCAGCGTAATAAATGACGTCAGAAGTGCTTTGAAGAGCCACTTCGGTAAGCTGCCGCCATCTCTTAACACAGAACGAAACAAAGAGTGCGATGTGAGGAAATAAAATTGTAACTTATTCTTTTATATTACTCGAAGTAAAAAGTTTATATTTTATTATTTACAGTACATGTTAATCAGCAATAAAAGAGCTTACTTCGTTTTTTAACGACAGAATTAAATAAATCTTAATACTGCAAGCAGCGATACATTTAAGTTAAAAAAATTTGTTTCTTAAGCTTTATAAAATTAGATTAACGCAATAGATAAATTTTAAAATTAAAAAAGAGTAATTAGAAATCAAATAAAAGATAAGAAAACCGGGTTGAATTATTTTGCACACAAGTAATGCGCCTATAAGGAAAAGGAATGACTTCCTGGAGAATGCTTTAACAGAAATTGACTCATATTTGTCCATTGAAACATCGGAGAAAAGCATGGAACAAACTGTCAGAGTTTTGTGGCTTCAACGATTGAAACGGCGCATTTGATTCTGTGCGTTTTAAAATGAAACTGATATTTAAATAAAGCTTTATTAACAAATTGTTAAAATGCTATGCAGTACGGTAGACAGTCCTTAATTAAATACCAAACAGACACGTTTCAGTTTTATCCTCTCATTATATAAAAATACGGATACTCTTTCGTTAGCGAGACTAGATAAAGAAATGTATGTATGTATACATACAAATTTGTGTATGTATGTATATATGTGTCTACATACACACATACGCACATATGTACATGCATACCCACTGGACTGCAAAAGACTTCTTTAGGCTTCTTGGGCTAATTTTCGCGTATATACATCTGTCATCCTTGAAATATTCAAAAAGTAAGCAAAACTCATTGATATCGAGAGAGTTCGGCGGCTGAAAATGCAGTCCGAAAATTCGGTGAATTTTCTGCTCCTAAACTAATCTACCTTTGAACCCCAGGTTTCACAATGACTTTAATAAAGAAACATCACGCATCAAAGATTTTCAAATAAAGAATATTTATTTTTTTTTAATTAGACTTAATTTACTTCATATATTGCACTAGGCAAATCAAGAGAATCCCGCATTCTATACATAAATTTAAAAAAATACTCTTTTAGGATAACTCTCCGACTTCTCTGTATGTCGTAATTATTGGGAATTTTACTGGACATATTTAGGCTCTTGTAAACAAATGCCATAATGGAGTCTAATTTTAAATAATTCTGCATGATTAATCTCAGGAAGGATTCAGATAGAAAGTTAGAAAAAGGGCTATGGTTAATACAAGTCATGAAGGGTCATAAAGGATCAATACAAGTTCATGAAGGCATCTGATTGACTATGGCAATTCCCAGTTTTCACCTGAAAACACACAAAATTGCAAGCAAATGTATAAAATGTATTGGAGCAATAAATAAAAAAAAGGAGGGGGGGGAAACGAGACTGCAATTCTTATTCATAGTATGATAGGATGTGCGATGAACGCTTGTGCAGCAAAAGTCCATGTCACATGATGTGAGTTATTAATGAGGCGGTTTGGTTTCAGATGAAAATTACTTTTCCAGATCATCAGATGAAAACAAACACAGAAGTAGAAAGCTTTTTAAAATAACAGTAAGCTGAAGTTAAATAGTGTTGCCCCTTACGAACATATCGTTTATAACTACATAAAGCTAACCTGCTTAAAATAGAACAAATAAATATTTAACAAGCAGATGATTACAGTGGCCATCTGAATAATCCTAAATTATTTTCCGCGTGTCAAACAATCCACCAAGAGAAAGTTCGTTATTCAAGTAGAGACTGCTTCAATGTTCCGCTGTGGTAGAACCTGATAGGCTCCACCTAATCTTACCAGAATGCGAAATTTTCTAAATCATATTTTATTTACAGTCGCAGTATACATCTGACTCAGTATTCTGAAAAGGGAAAAAGAACACGCATACAAATTTGTCTGTAAAATGGATCAGAAGATGTTTAGTTCTGTTGCATTCCGCTTCTATTTCCACAAGAACATCACAATTTTCTAGTCATTGTGACGACATGCATTCTAGACAGAAGAATATTGTTTCCTCACTAAAAGTCTGGCAACTCTATCGCTTCTTTTGTAATGTGTTCTGCATGCAGCTATAACCAAGGAGGTCTAACCTCCTTGGCTATAACTATGACGCTATAAATCTAATTTTGGATTTATGCAATAATGGAAATCAGAAAACTTCATTAGAGCTTTATTAGAACTAAGGATTTGACTTTGGGTTTTCGATCAATTATAACTGAAATATAGAACAATGTAAATTCTGTTTCCTTGCTGGTATTTCAGAGAAAATTAAATTTCTTAATCTGAAATCATAACTCACACGCTACAAATCTTATGCTGGATAGAGGGATAGATGCATTTTATTGCAACTATAAACTTTTTGCTTTGCTCCGAGTTAAGCGATAAATATTTTCTATTTTTTAAAAATGATAGTATATTCCTTTTAGCCATTAGAATTTATAGAGTATATATATATATATATAATAAGATGCTGTGCATTTTAAAACGAAACGAAACCATACTTATTTCCCTCCATTTGGGATTTGATACAGAATAAAAATTGCATCCTCCCGATACTTTCTCAAAGTATGTAAAATTTTCTTCTAAAAATTGGCATTTTTAAATATAATGTGCATTATTTAACTGAAATTCAGTAAAAATTAGGTGTAAAAAATGCCTCTTAATTAATAAGAACACGTGAAGAGAGCATGATAAAAATTTTTAGTTTTTAAGGGTTGTCTCAACCCTACTCCTCCTTTTTACCAGTAGCAATGCCTGTGGTGAAGGCATGGCCTACCGGCCTTCACTTTTCGTCTGGAAGTAACTCAATACTAATTAATATAATATTGTACACAAAATGCTAATAAAGTGCAGCATAAAGCATTGCTCGAAAGCTAACCACTTATTCACTCATCATGACCAATCAGCTGAAACATGAAGCAAATGGCTTGAGCCGCGGTCTGAAGAATGGCTTTAAACACCATGAGGTATGGGTGTGTTCCTTTCTGCAGATTTGTCAAATTTCGTTCATTTTAACTATGCGTATCTTTTTACTATGATTTGATTTTGTAAGTAATTGAATTTGATTTGCGGTTATTTATATAATATCAGGATACGAATTGCCGCAAAAATGCTTGGGTTGAGCGAACGTAATTTGTGTGCAGAAAAGTTTAGCTGCTCTGCTTAGAAAATTTGTGTATTTATACATTGAGGAGCGCTTGTTGCTTCGTTTTTTAATCTGTAGTATTATCCTTAATTTGTAAATATATCTTAAACTGAATGAGAATAAGCGATGCTTGTCAATTTTTTTTTAAATTTTGTTTAATCTTTTTTTTTTTTTTTTTTTCTGTTTCATAAAAGCCTTTTTTTAAGCTATTATGTGATAATAAATTCACATTTCGTAATAACTGAAAATATTCTCTTTACAAAGAAAGTTATTAAATTCTTCCATTTGTGTTAGAAAAATCCCAGCAAAATACTTTTGCAACATTTTTTAGTATTTTTTTAAACATTTTTTTCACCTCATGCATCCGTGGGTGCATCCATATTCTCTCCTTGGTGGTATTACTAAAATTCACTTTTAACAATTTTAACAACATCCTTTTTTTGTGTTTTCTCGCTTAGCTGTTCCTGTCATATTTTTCAGATATTTTATAATATTGTTTTCCCTTAAAATAGATAGAAAAATGTTGTATTTGCATCCTAGGCTAGGGCATTTTAGGAATTTTGTCAAATTACAATAAAGCTGATTGTAATCTAGATATAGCCAGAATTCAGGATTTTTTGAGTTTTCATGTCTGGTGTATCCGGTTTTTATGAAATGCAGATTCATTATTTTTCTCAGATTTAATTTTGGAACATATTTATCATTTAGATATTATAAAAATGAAATTATATAAAGACTGATCGTAGAATGTATAAAGCTTAATGAGAGATCAAATTTCTTGTATGTGCATACTAAGTAAATATGGAATTTATTTTATGCAAAAAAAAAATATTTTTGCTGTTTGTATTGTACAAAAACAAAAAATGCGATATTGCCAAGGTTTGGCTAAAATACAAGTATTTCGGCTGAAAGATAATGAAAAAACAGAATTACCCTGTATTAATAAAACTAATTAAATATTTACATCGAACATCTGTTGAAAGTATGGCTGATATTATAACAGAACATTGAGCATTCTTGAATGCTGATAGTCTAGATCAGTGCTTTGGTTTGTCTTGACCGATGATTGGGGATCCTTTTCGTCCATTATTTGATGTCATTCATAAAAAAAAACTTATATTTAAAAAAATTTTATTCACAGTAACACAACACAATAACTGTATTTTAAATACACTACTCATACATGTGTTATTAAGATTTTCTTAAAGAAAAAAAAAAAAAAAAAATTCAGCACGTTCCATGCGACTTGTTTTGCTGTTTTTCTCTGCATCTTGCTGTTGCTGCCGTCCTTGTTATCCACAGAGGGCGTTAATGCCTTATAATTCCCCATGCAAGTAAGTGGTCAGTCTGTGTGATTAAAAAAAAATATATATGTATATAGTACTTTACCTGAAAGTAACTAAATGAACATCTTTTTTTAAAAAGAAATTGATCATATATGAAACAAACACAGATATTTAAAACCTTATGTTATATAAAATCCTAATGTTAATAAAATCATGGTTGATCTTTACATTATGGTAACTTGGCGTTTTTTTGGCGAAAATTTGCCGACCAACTCTCCTACAGCAACCCTCTATTTTTTTTTTTCCCCGCTGCCATTTTGTCTTCACGAAGTAAAGACATGTTTCTTTTCTTTTTATCTACTGAACACTTCTTCCAACAATCTACTAGTCAAATTACACTTATGCTAGAAATTTTATCTAACAAAACTGCTTAATCATGACAATATTCACTGCAAAATTGGGAAAAAGTGAACAATACCATACTCCTTATGCGTTTTTCAAAATAACACATACACATAAACCATGTACACGCCGACTTATTTTTACTTAAAAAAACATCCCAGAATTACACAAAAATGAAAAATGCCATTGCGCACACTCTTCACTATATCCATGTACACTGCTTTTTTCTCATAAATTACAAAAATTTCACGAAAATACATGACAATTTTCTGAATCTTTAAACTCGGTAAAAGAACATATATGAAATTACATGATCGCGAAAAAGTTTATACCCTTTCCAAATATGAACATTTCCACATATAAAATAAATAAAATATCCAAAAACTTTTACCTCTAAATCATCTATTATATTATACACGTCACCAACAAAATTCATACCGCAAGCATTAGCATTACAAATATTTAGTGTCAAATATTTAAATTATTTCCATGCACGTTTACTTCAACTTAAACGTATACCAAATTCCTACAAACATAAAATTCACAAATAACTATCATTTAATTAAAATATAATTAAATTCAAAAACACTACTTAAAATATAAATGAGCACATACATTAAATTAATAAAAATTACCTTACAATCCTAATTTACTTTAAAAACTAAATCATTGCTAATAACAATTTTCCCAATAATACCAAATTCCTTTACTTCCACCTTACATTTAGAACAATGCATAAAAATAATATCCACAAATAATTAAAAATACTAACTTACCTAATCTTCTTCAGAATCTTGATTACGTGTCCGATAAACTTTTCTTTAGTTACGGCCATGGGATCCAAAAATTCACGAACACTGTTTCACACAACACAGAATAAACCAAATACAAAATTTCCAGATTTTTTCCTGATTTCCCCCCTTTTCCGATTAAAGAACCGTAATTCGTTCATTAATATCACGACATATCCCATGATCTCTCATTTCCCTCACACAAAATAATGCGTAATCGGAACTGAGTACTGCTCACATTATTACCGTATCAATATAGCAAAGTTCAAAATATTTGATACTGGATGTTATATAATCTAAAAGTAAAATGTTTTTAGAAAATTATACATAAATGTTCTTTAAAGTTTAAATGTCTTACCAGTGAGTAGCTGGTAGTCGACTTAGAGCATCAGCATTTAAATTACTTTTTCCACGGCAGTTGCTGACACTGATGGTATACCTTTCCAAAGGCAGGTAGAACCGCTGAAGTCGAGCTCGTTTTGAGATAAGTCGGGTTGTAGTCACTCACCATTTAGACTTGAGATCAGGGCTTAATTTGTAAAAGTAGAAGTGCCAGAGCCTTATGGAAGACCATCAGCAAAGAGGAACAAGAATAAATAAATGAATAAAATGATTATTAAAATGATTGATAATTTTTAAATTGAATAGTTAAGGATTATCAAATTAATAATTATTTAATTGACATTAATATTATTTAATCAATAATCATGATTGAATTCATAATTAATTTATTATTATTTATTAAAATAATTTAATAATTTAAGTACTTAAATGATTAAAATTAAATAAAATGCAAAGAGATAAATTAAAATTTAATAAGCAATATTTAATATGATTTTATTACTAAAAATAAAATTTTTGAGATCAAATTTCTACAGAAATTGTTGTTCAGTTACATAAAATAAGTGCTGAAGCCTTCTTGTTTAGGGCTCTGGTATGCTCTGGCTAGAATTAGAATTTATCTCAAGAACTAATAAGTACCAGAGCCAGGCTCTGGTGCAATTTAAGCTCTGCTCGAGATCCATATTTTCAAAGCCAGTAACAGGAGTAATGAACCATGAAATATTCAGACTTTTAACCACGGATGTTCTAATTGCCAGTTGAATAAGCTGTCATGTACACCATGAGAGTAGGCATTGGAGAAGAGATGTTATAATTTCTTATAAATTTATCTTGGAATTTGTGGGAAAATCTGCAGCCCTTCATAACTTGGCAGTTCTGTTTAAAAAAAGGGAATTTTAATAATTTCAATTTGATGTCTGAATTCATCCATGTCATCTATGGTAATACCTTAAAAGTTATTTCTTTTTGCCTGCAGGTATTAGTTTGTCATGTAAGCGATTGAAAGTAAGAGTAAACTTTTGAAAAGTGAAAATATGAAATTATATAAGTAATTTCTATTATTTGATTAACTAAAAGCAATAGAGAGAATTAGGAAAATAAAAAGAATTAGGAGTTATTAATGTTATTTTTAAAGTTTTTCTTCACTCCTCATGATTTTCTCAGTATAAAAGTGTTAGTTAAAAAATGAAATTAGTCAAAGAACTTAAAAATTAGAATATCTAGTGTTGATCAGTTATATAGATAAGTATTAATAAATTTAGAACCTGTACATCAGAATTGAATATAACTAGTTCAGTAACCTGAATCATCCGTTATAAAGTGAATTAAAGTAAGCTTAGAGTTTCTTTGAAATGATGTTGCCTCTCAGTGTGAAAACTTTGTGATTTCCCAGTTTTCTCACAAAAATCTCACGATTCTTAAGATTTCAAAGGTGGCAGCTATAGGTTGTATTTTTCATATCCCAAAGAATATGCTTATAATTATATTGCAAATCATATGCTTACTATTGATTAATAAAATTGCTATGATTCATTTCTTATTCATGTAAATTCAGTAAATTGTCACTAATTGACTCGAGGGAATCTTAAACTCTTGTTCCATAATGGCAATTTCATAATGATTGACTAAAAACTGAGTACAGTCAACAGCTTTACTTGTATAGTGGATGAGAATATGGGTTTTGCATTCTGTTTCTGTATTTTGAAATGTTGCTTATTCCTACAAATATTAGATATTTATTTCTTACCTCGGATTTCTTATAGAAATTTGCTATCAAAATTTTATTATTAGTATCTGGCATTCTTTGACTCTATACTAAATGACATACATTTTGTGTCCAGTGAAAACAGGTTGCACTTTAGTAAATTCAAAAAATATATCGAGCAAAAGATTGCTGTATTGTTAAAGACAATTTTTAGCTTGCACAGTTTTCCGTTTGACAGGTTAATGTATATTCATTTGGAAAAATATGTTCTTGATTTGCTGAAATTTGTCACTTG